CAACTCGCCGCGTGAAGAAATCATACACACACATTCCCTATCTGAGGATGAGGGATGGGTCAGAAAGGCACAGTCGCGTCTCAACACCGACCGAGACTGGCACCAGAAGTGGTCTCCTAATTCGTCGCAAGGGACCGCGGTATCCTGGCACATCCACCGGCGATTAAAACACATTCTTCCTCCACGTACCTCTCACACAAGCGTCCAATGCCTTCGACTCACTATGGAGCAGTGTCCTAGATTGTTGGAGGCCCCGGGGTACCTGGACTTGTTTGTCTGGGGGGGCTGGGAGTTGGCCACTCGGGGACGGCTCGACTCTTCCAAGCCGCACTTTTCCAAGTTTGACATGTACTGGTTGCCAAAACATTGGTGACACAAGCACACACATATCTATATAACGATAAGACCACCCTACGGGTGATCAGGAGTCGGATCCGCCGGCATCGCGGCCACTGGGCTGTGCGGTTGTGCGGGCATGCGTACAGCTGGTGCCGCAGAGCACTCCAGGCAAACGCAGGACAGGTGGCACATGACAGGCAGCTGCTCCACTGCTTCTGCCTAGGACCTGTGGCGCTGACCAGTCCCAGGAGATTCGTCCATCGGCGCCGCCTCCCACCGTCTTGCCGCCCGCTGGGCTCTCCTGCTTGTCCTGGCTACCTCTGCCCTAGCCCCGCGTGTGGGCCATCGTGTAGCTGCGGCGCATCTGCTCACAATCGACCCGTACGCCGTCGGCGCCTGCCGCATCCACAATATCGCAGCTGTTGCGTCGCAGGCGGTCTAGTAGGAGTCGCAGGTTGTGCCACGGATCCCGTTGTTTTGCCCGCGTCGTCGTCGACGTACGCGTGCCAGCCACCGCTCTTTCTGCAATCTCTTGAGCGTGTCTGGTGGCGATCCCCCTGCTCTGTACCACTCAATGTTGCGCATGGGGATGCCGTACAGCGGCCGCCGCTCCCAGGACCTTTTCCCACTGAGACCCGCGGCCATGTCCTGCCAGGTCTGCCGAGCGCCAGCTGTCGTGGCGGCCGCTCCAGCTGCTGGCCCCGCCCTGCCAGGACTTCAAGGCCCTGTGCGTCTACCGCTCGCGCACCTCCTGAGCGGCCCACCTGTCTGAGCGCGGGGAAGGGGCGGCGCTGGTGGCGCGCTCGGCGCTCGCGCCGTGGGAGGGCGGGGAAGCGGTGGCGCCGTTGGCGTGGCGCTACGGCCTTGGGTCCAGTGCTAGCGCCAGTGGCGGGTCCGCCGCTCGAGGCGGGCGCGCACTCACATACACACACACACGCGCACACACACACACGCACGCACGCACGCACGCACGCGCACACACACACACACACACACACACACACACACACACGCACACACACACACACACACACTCTCGCTCGCACGCGCACGCACGCACACGCACACGCACACGCACACGCACACGCACACGCACACGCACACGCACACGCACACGCACACACACGCACACGCACACGCACGCAAACACACGCACAGACACACGCACAGACACACACACACACACACACACACACACACGCACGCACACGCACACGCACACGCACACGCACACGCACGCACGCACGCACGCACTCACACACACACACACATGCACACACACACACTCACACACACACACACACACACACACACACACACACAATTTTTTGGCCTCGCGGCCCCGCACGCGGCGACGCAGTCGAGTGCAAGCATCGGAGCGCGCGCGTCCACGCCAGGCCGAGCTCCCAGAGACCGCTCAGGGTCCCACAGCCGGCAGCAGCCATAACCATCCGCGGGCCTGGATGGCGGGGAGAGGCGTTGTGTCGACGAAACTACGGTGAGGCTGAAAGGCGGGGAGAGAGAGAGAGAGAGAGAGAGAGAAAGCCAGTGCGGACCGACGGGGGAGCGCGTCAAGGGGCGACGGCGAAGAGCGAGTTGAAGGTGGCGGAACCGCATACACATATACACGCGCCCCCAGACAGTGTCCAGACGACTCTCAAGCAGCTGGGACCAATCTTCAGACCCCCCGCCCACCCCAAGGGGCCAGCAGAAGTTCCCAACAGGCCAAGGACGTCGAACAAAGTTGTCTCGCGAGGCCGAGATACACTCCAGAGACTCCCCACCTGGTACTACAACGAGCGCTACCTGCCACTGTTTTGATGTTCTGGCAGCTGCCCACATCCTTGCCTGCCTGCCTGCCTGCCTGCCTGCCTGCCTGCCTGCTTCACATGATACCTCAGCGCTTGACAACCCGTGGACACGGGCCATGACCCCTTACGCTACCCTGGGTGTCATCCTAGAGGGCTGGGAGGAGGAGAAGAAGGAGGAGGAGAAGGATGAGGAGGAGGAGGAGGAGGAGGAGGAGGAGGAGGAAGGGAAGGGAAGGATGAGGAGACGAAGGAGGAGGAGGAGGAGGAGGAAGTGGACGAGGAGGAGGAGGTGGAGGAGGCCCATTGGCAGTCCCCCAAAAACTCCAGGAGATCCCGTCAGCCAGCGGGCAAGGCAAAGCCACGGGCCCGGCGTGCCTTGGCAAGCAAGCGGCCTGCGGCCCCAGACAGGCACCCAACGCCCGAAGACGACCCACAGAAGACCCCCAGGAGGTCCTCGGACGACAAACTAAACCTGTTCCCCATTGGTTCTGGATTGACGTTCTGAATATGCGGTTCTTCCGTCTTCAGGGCCTTCGAGACCGACCCAGAGGCTGGAATGTCGCTGCAAAACAGCCTAGAGGGCTTCCAGACAGTCCAAAAAGAGCCCCACGACGGCCCAGCAGGGCCCCAACACGGACCGAAGAGAGCCTTATTGAAGGGGAACTGGGACACACAAATAAAAACACACAAATAAAACGATTCCCCATATTTTCCTATATTTTCTTGGTTTTTGTCTTCCCCCCCCCACTTCCCATATTTTCCCATATTTTCCTGGGGACCGACGATTAATTGTGTCTGTGTGTTTCTTTCCCTCCTGACTTATAACAGCCCTAACTGGTCCCGAGACGCCCAGCAGTACTCCAAATCGTGACCCGGTCGTTCAGGTAGACCGCGGTTGGAAGTAGAGTGGCCCGAACAAGCCCCCAGAGGACCTCAGAAGGCGCCCAGAAGGCCTCCAGAAGGGCCCAAGAAACCCGTAACCATTATCGGAGCCTCGGCAAAAAAGGCTGGAGAGGATGGGAAAGGGTTCGCAGGATAGGGCAAGAATGAGTGCGAGGAAGAAGAAACATGAGGGAAGAAGAAGGAATTAACATTATGACAGCGACGACGCCATAAAAGACAACAATGATGCATCGTTACATTTACTGGCTTTCCTCTCCTTACCCTTGCATGCCCAAACCTGAAGGACCAAGGTGCATGGAGCAAAGCGCAAATGCAGTCTTGTACACATGTATGTAGATGTGTGTCTGTAAGGCCTGGTAGACGGATCGCCGGATCCGGAATCGGGGGGCGCTCGTTGGCTCTCATTGCCTCTCGTTGTCTCCCGGCGCCTTCCGTGGCCTCCCGTGGCCTCCCGTTCCTCCCGTGGCCTCCCGTTGCCTCCTGTGGCCTCCCGTGGCCTCGTGTGTTTCCAACCGTTGCCTCCCGTGGCCTCCAATTGCCGGCCCTGTCCCTATTCATATCCCTATCCCGCCCTATGTCCAAATCTTCACCCGTGTCCCTATCCCCATCCCGACCTCTCGCCCTCTCGTCACCCCCCATCGTGACCACTGTCGTGACTGTGTCAACCTGTTTCGGGCCTTCTGGCGCGAAGGTGTCACGGGACAACCACGGAACAACCACGAAACAACCTCAGGACAACCGCAGGACAACGGCGGGACACAACCGCGGGGCAACCACAGGAAAACCACGGGATAACTGCGGGACATCCGCGGGACAACCAGGATCTCACCACCCGCCGACGGGGAGGAATGAACAAATGATGGCACCCTATCCTAACAAGGCCGGGATCTCTCTCGCAGTCTCCCGCCCTCGCGTACCTTCGCCTCCCACGCACGCGCATCACGCACCGCACGACCCGAACCCGGAATCCACTTCCCGGATCGGGGAATCCCCTGCGCTTCGATCTGACCCTCCATCTTCCCACTGTGCACCCATGTGCTCCACATCCAGAGTGCAATAACTCTTTGCTTGGGACCCACGGCGGCAATCATTGTAAACGACAAACTGTGCTGTGCTATTGAGTCAAACTGGTGCCAATTGATTACGCATGGCCCCCTTCACAAGCCGAGGGACCTGCGTGAAACATGGGCTTGCCCACTCGGTCGAAGCCCGGCCCGGATACGCACGCGGTGCCAACTGCAGCGCAGGCGACGCCGTAGGCCACCATGATGCCAGCAAAGTTGCGCGCGCCGACCTGTCGAGAACAAGATGCGGATCCCAACACTGGCAGCTATGACCAGGGTGAGCAGGCAAGGCACGACATGTCGTAACGACTCGACCAGCCCCTGCTTGCCACGCTTTGCAAACGGGCTTCACTCTGTCTGTGGAGAGTCGAGAGAGCGTCTCCCCTGTACGCATTGCTGGTGCAGAAAGCCCCACCTCCCCTGCTCAGAAAAACGACCCTTCCCCTTCGAAAACCCCACCACCCTGCTCTCCGGAGCCGCCCGTCCCCCCCCCCCCCCCTTCCCGAGCGAAAACACCGCCCACCACCCTCGCCGCGCCGCCGTGGTTTGCAGGCGAGTCTGTCGGTGGTCAGGCGGGCGGGCGGGACACGTCGTCAACGTCGTCGTCGGCGAATCGATCGGGCGGGCGGGCGGGACACGTCGTCGTTTTCCAGCGCTGGGCGTCGGTCTAGCGCGCGGGCTGGACACGTCGTCTGAGTCTTCGTGGGCGACTCGGTCAGGCAGCTGTGCGGGACACGTCGTCGTCGTCGTCCCTTGCCGGCGAGTCGGTCGGTCGGGTGGGCGGGGGGACACGTTGTCGTCGTGGGCAGTCGGGCGAGCGGGCGGAACACAGCATCGTCGTCCTCGTCATTGTCGTGGTCGTCTTCGTCGTTGTCGTCGTCGTCGTTTGCGCCGCCGGGCGTCGTCGCCGTCGCTGTCGCGATCGCCGTTGTCGTCGCTGTCGTCGCCGTCGTTGTCTGGTCCTCGTCGTCTTCGCCGCCAGCGCAAGGGGGGAGGGGTCAACGCCCCCTCCCTGGGCTTTCACTCGGGAATTGTTGAGCGGGGGGTCGGACCCTGCGCTCTGGCGGAGATTAATACTCATAGCTGCGAACTGGTCAGCTGCCCCACCCAAACCTCACCCCAACCCACCCACCCCACCTGACCTCCCCGCTGACAGAAGCTGAGGGATTGCGAATGCCAGTTGCGCGTGCGGATTGCGCATGCGGGATGCTGCACATGAGTGCTTGTTTACCTGCTGGCTTAGCAGCCTTATGATACTGCATACACATCCGATAAGAAACATTGCTATACCACATCTCGCGGCACGTCCTTCATCACCCTTCAAGAATCCGAAGGTGCCCCAACACCGTTGTGTGTCCCTGGGGCCATCGGGTGGCAGGACAGTTCCGTGGGGCACCTGCTGTCAGGCCGACCTCTTCTGTGATGTGCATGCTGTGTTACACCACGTCAGTGCTGTAGATCATGCTTGGAGAATGCCTGGCGAAAAAGAACATCTGACGAGGTGGAGGACGCAACATGCTCAGGATAAGCCGAGACTTGGTATGACCCGGAAGAAACGCGTACGCAATCGAACCGGGCGACAAAACAAAACCGTGAGACAAAACTGGCAGAGTTTCTGTCCGGCACCGCGGAGCCGCAGTTGAGGTATCCGCCAACAGGATCCAGCATACAAGACGATAATGTAGCGAGACGGAGGTATGGCCTCTGTGCGACGTGTCAACACCATGCCGAAGACACAGAATAGAGTGCCCCCTTGGTCCCGCTGGAACCCGTTGTATTGAGTACTCGAATGCTGAAGACTGCTTGGGGCGTAGCGCAGGACTCCTGCGGCTTGTCGCGAAGCTACAGTTCACCTCAAGTCGCACTCAAAAGACGGAGTTGCGAGGGTATGCAGGGCTCACATGGTTTGCGACTGAAGCAGGAAGAGGAGGGCACCCGTGCCGCCCGACTCGGGTGCTGCTAGTAGTGCCCCTGGCTTAAGGTGTCCCCGAGAGTTCCGAGGAGGCCCCCCCGGCCTCCAGGACACCCTTCGCGAGGTCCAGAGGGCCCCAGGGACTCCAAAGTTGAGCGAAAAGCTGGGGGCACCTTGGGCCAGGGGCACCTCTGGCAACCCCCGAGCGACATGTGAGCTCCGAGCCCGTCCTCGGGAGCTCACCTGGCCACGCGGGAGGAATCGGCCCCAGCCTGGCGCACACCTGTCCCTTACGACGAAGCCAGGACGAGGATGAAATCGGTTGAGGATCTATCGACAATCTCAAAGATCCGGCGGTTCTGGAGGATGTCTCGGCCGCCGCGGCCTTCTCAAACCGTTCCAGAACGCTCTGAGACCGTTCTGGAACGCTCTGGAACGGATCTATCCTCGTCCTAGCACCGTCCGAGCATGTGAGGGGCAACGATAGGGGGGGATTGGCACAGGAGGCGGTACATCGACCTGGAATCCGCGATAGGCCCCCGATGGTGCATCCGCACATTCCTGGGCAGGCTGGGGCCATCGGCCCCCTATCAGCGATCCGTGGGCGCTTGGGGGTGGATGCCTCCCCCCCTCCCAGACCCCCGACGTCGTGATTTTTTCATGACGTCGCCCCCCAGAGGTCTGGACCCCTTCCCCGGGACCGGTTTTTCGTCCTGCATCGTTTTTTGACGGACCCGAGGCCCGGGAAGGGCCCCCAGAGGGCGAAAGTAGCGAAAAACCTTCCGTCGTGATTTTTTCACGACGCGAAGGGGTCTGGGCTCTGCCTGTCCCCCCCCCGCTACCGCTGCGCCTGAGCAGCACCCGCGCGGGGCCCCCGCCCCCGCTGGCGCGCTCGCCCCACGGCGGCCGCAGCCCGGCGCCGCAGCCCGCCCTGGCCCTGCCTGCTGCGGGCCCCGCTCCTCGGAGAGCCGGGCGGCGGGAGGCGAGCGGGCGGCGGAGCAGCGGCCCCGCCGGGGCCCCTGCCGGGGCCCGCGTGCACCCGTGGTCCGAGGCTGCGTCCAGCCGCGGCGGCGGGGGGGCCTCGGGGACCGATCGAGCCCGGGTGGGTCGGGCCTCGCAGGAGCCTGCAAGAGCCCGCAGGATCCTGCGCGCGCCCCCCCCCCCGGCTGTGCAGCATCCTGCAAAATCCGGCGCTCTGGCTGATCCCCGTTTGCACTGACCCCCGTCTCAGGGCTCCCGAGGGCCCCCGCGACGGGCAGCTACCACTGCGTCAACCCATATCGTAAGGATGGGCGGCAAGGATGCCAGGGCCTTGCAAGGCCACGTCGAGGCTCTTCGAGCCGGGCTGGCCACCAGAAGTGGTTGCGGATGGACCGAGGATGGGCCGAAGAGGCAAGGATGCAAGGGCACCCTTGGGAAGCACCCTTGCTATGCGGGTCGACTGCACCGTTGTGCCAACTCGCCCTCCTCGGAGACCCGCTCGCCTGCCAGTGTGAGGCCATCGGTGTCAGCGGGCGCGCGCCCAGCCGGGGTGCGGCGCCCGAGCCCGCACCTTCGAGGAGGGCCCGCCATGAGGCGAGCCCGCGCGGCGCGGCGTCAGCGCCGTCCGCTCCAGGCTCGCGGCGCCGCACGCCTCGGGCGGCGCCGCACGGCAGCGGCACCCGCGCTTGTGGTGCGCTGCCGCAGCGAAGGAGAAGCCACAGCGACGGCGCAGACTGTGGGCGCAAGGCCAACGGATCTCCAGGTCGATCCAGTCGAGATCTCTGGTGAGGGCGGGCGCCAAAGACGCAAGGGCCTTGGACGCCCACGTTTGCGCTTTGTGGGCGGCGGACTGCCAGCCCAGCGAAAAACTGCTGAGGACGGGCCGCGGGACGCAAGGGTACCCAAAGGGCAGCCGTGCGTCCTTACTAGGAGTTCTGACTGTGCAGCATCACCAGCACTGTCAAGGTACGAGCCATGGGGTGTGGCCCAGCGCGGGTCCGCAGCAAAAAGCAGGGCTGCACTGGGCACCCTTGAAGAAGCACTGCGTCCTGGCTGTCGGTTTGGGCCGTCCGCCTGCTCGGGGTGACCGTCCCGAGCCTCGGCGTCACCTCCGCGGGTGCGCTTCCGGGGGCGAAGCGCGCCGGGAGGCCGAGCGCGCCCCCACGGCGCCGGCCTCCCTGCCCGCCCACGGGGGCGCCAACGCGCCCCCAGCTGCGCCGCGAGAAGCTGTCAATATCCGCGGCGCGGTGCCATGCCCCGAGGACCCTGGAGCGGAGGACGCGGATCCCTGCCCGCCCGTGCGGGGCGGGCGGCCATCCATGTCCATCGCTCCTCGGAGCCCAAAGGCACGAGCCCGAAGCGGTGGATGTGCACGTATGCAGCGGCGCTGCATCCTTGCCCGGCGGCCGTCGCGCCGTGGGGCGGCCCTCCGCGTCGTCTGGCGCGTGGCGCTGCTTGCCCAGCGAGGCCGTCTGGAAGGCTGTGGGGCAGGGGCACCCGCTTCAATTTAACGGGCGAAAGACGGCATAAAATATGTTCTTTCGCTGTCGGGGGCGCCTGCCCCAGGGCGGCTGGAAAGTTTATACCCTTACGGTGGAACCGTAGGGGTATAAACTTTCCAGCCGCCCAGGGGAAGGTGTCCCCGACGGCGAAAAAGTTTATTTCATACCGTTCTTCGCTCGCTGATCAATCGGCGGGGCCGCGCGCGCACCCGAAGTGCGAGCGCGGCCCAAGAGAAGGTCGGCAACGATGCGCAGCTGGCGCGGCCGATCCTTGCAGTGAGCGTCTGCTGCTGCTGCTGCTACGCGAGACCCCCCCGTCCTGGCCGTTGTCCAGGCTCCTGGCCGTGGCCCCAGAGCCTCGAGCCCAGCCACGAAGGCGGCTGCCCCACGAGGTGGGAGCAGATTCATCATTGACCGCCCTCGTTCCTGTGTCACGTCACGGTTCGCGCCGGCGTCGTGTGGGCAATGGCCATCCCTGGGCATTCCCAGACGGCACCGGCACGAATCGGAACGTAACCCGCTCCCTCCCTCCCGTCCCCGCTCCTCCTCCTCCTCCTCCACCTCCTCCTCCTCCTCCTCCTCTCCCATTCCTTCTCCTTTTAGATAACTCCTCCCTGTCACACCCCGAGGCGAGTTTTTCAGGGCCAGGCGTTTCGCCTGAGACGCCCTCACCACTTATGATTCTAAAGCTTAAAAAGTGACCACAGTTTCACAGACGGATGGCGGGTCGTTTTCAGAATGTGGCTCTCGCCGAAGCGCCGCGCATATTCGTTTTCAGAATTTGCAAGAGCTTCACGGATTGAAGGCGGGTCGTTTTCAAAATGTGGCTTTCGCCTAGGCGCCGCGCACACCCTTTTTAGACATGTGCCAGAGTTTCACAGATTGAGGGCGGTGTTCAAAATGTGGCTCTCGCCGAAGCGCCGCGCTCAGTCGCTTTAAACATTTGCAAGAGCTTCTCGGATTGAAGGCGGGTGGCTTCAAAATTTGGTATCCCGCCTTAGCGCAGCGCACATTCGTTGTAACAAGTGCAAGGCTTTCACGGATTAAGGGCGGTTGCTTTTCAACATGTGGCTCTCGCCTCAGCGCCGCGCAGATTCGTTTTCAAAAATGGCAAGGGTTTCAAGGAATCCCATGATCAATGCTCCAAACATTGTGTTTTGCAACAGTTATGTTGATTCGCAGTGTTGAAACGTCAAAAACTGCCGCTCTGGCACGATTCCCGATCGTCAGGACGCAGCAATCAGGTTGATACGTGGCGTCGAAATCCCGGGAACAATGTTTTGGCATGCTTCAGGATCTTCGAATGGTTGTCTTTCAACGAGGCAGTTCCCTCAATGGAAATGAACCGTTGTGGGGGGCCTATGAAGAGGGAGATTGGAGGGAGGGTTAATTCCAACATCGTTCATGACTCTTGGTTTTACACTGGTCCTCCTCCTCCTCCTCCTCCTCCTCCTCCTCCTCCTGCTCCTCCTGCTCCTCCTCCTCCCCCTCCACCTCCTCCTCCTCCTCCTCCCTCCACCTCCTCCTCCTCCTCCTCCTCCTCCTCCTCCTCCTCCTCCTCCTCCATTCCTTCTCCTCAGAACTAACTTCTCCCTGTCGCACCCCGAAGTCAGATTTTAGGGCGGGCTGGGCGTTTCGCCTGAGACTTCCTCACCACGTCTGACCCCGAAGCTTCAACATTGGCAACACTTTCACTGATGGAGGGCGGGTGGTTTTCAAACTGTGGCTCTCGCCTAAGCGCCGCGCGCATTCGTTTTAAACGTTTGCCAGAGTTTCACGGATTGAGGGTGGGTAGTGTTCAACATGTGGCTCTCGCCTTAGCGCCGCGCACATCATTGTGAACTTACCCTGTGACGTACCCAACCCATTCTATACATGTGGCGGCTGTACTCGGGACCTCTCAATACTGACTGGCGTTTTGAAGGACCCGCAGTGCACAAGAAGAGCACCCAGAAGTGATTTCAGAAGAGCGCAGCAAGAAGAGGAACCTCAAACATACAACATGCAAACACAGGCAAAACGAAAATGGCGACAATTGCGCAGCACAGCAGAGGTACATCATACGCGGACCACCTCGGGACCTCGCCCCCCGCCCTGGGTGGCTTGCGATCAGTGCAACTGTCGCCACGTTCGTGGGCTCCTGGGAGGCCCAACGGAGGTACGTCATACGCGGACCACCTCGGGACCTCGCCGCCCCCTGGGGGGCTTGCGATCTGCGCAGCTGTCCTCACTTTCGTGGGCTCCTGGGAGGCCCAGCGGAGGTACGTCATACGCGGACCACCTCGGGACCTCGCCGCCCCCTGGGGGGCTTGCGATCTGCGCAACTGTCGCCACTTTCGTGGGCTCCTGGGAGGCCCAGCGGAGGTACGTCATACGCGGACCACCTCGGGACCTCGCCGCCCCTTGGGGGGGCTTGCGATCTGCGCAGCTGTCGCCACTTTCGTCGGCTCCTGGGAGGCCCAGCGGAGTTGGATCCCGACCTTGACGCCCCCTGGAGGGCTTGCGATCTGCGCAACCGTCGCCACGTTCATCGGCTCCTGGGAGGCCCAGCGGAGGTACGTCATGCGCGGACCACCTCGGGACCTCGCCGCCCCCTGGGGGGCTTGCGATCTGCGCAACTGTCGCCACGTTCGTGGGCTCCTGGGAGGCCCAGCGGAGGTACGTCCCAGTACGTCATCGTACGGACCACCTCGGGACCTCGCCGCCCCCTGGGGGGCTTGCGATCTGCGCAGCTGTCGCCGTGGGCTCCTGGGAGGCCGAGCGGAGGTACTCATACGCGGACCACCTCGGGACCTCGCCGCCCCCTGGGGGCTTGCGATCTGCGCAGCTGTCGCCACTTTCGCGGGCTCCTGGGAGGCCCAGCGGAGATACGTCATACGCGGACCACCTCGGGACCTCGCCGCCCCCTGGGGAGCTTGCGATCTGCGCAACTGTCGCCACGTTCTTGGGCTCCTGGGAGGCCCAGCGGAGGTACGTCATACGCGGACCACCTCGGGACCTCGCCACCCCCTGGGGGGCTTGCGATCTGCGCAGCTGTCGCCACTTTCGTGGGCTCCTGGGAGGCCCAGCGGAGGTTCGCCGCCAAGCCTGGGGGGCTTGCGATCTGCGCAGCTGTCGCCACTTTCGTGGGCTCCTGGGAGGCCCAGCGGAGGTACGTCATACGCGGACCACCTCGGGACCTCGCCGCCCCCTTGGGGGGCCTTGCGATCTGCGCAGCTGTCGCCACGTTCGTGGGCTCCCGGGAGGCCCAGCGGAGGTGCGTCATACGCGGACCACCTCGGGACCTCGCCGCCCCCTGGGGGCTTGCGATCTGCGCATGTCGCCACGTTCGTGGGCTCCTGGGAGGCCCAGCTAAGGTACGTCATACGCGGACCACCTCGGGACCTCGCCGCCCCCTGGGGGGCTTGCGATCTTCGCAACCGTCGCCACGTTCATCGGCTCCTGGGAGGCCCAGCGGAGGTACGTCATACGCGGACCACCTCGGGACCTCGCAGCCCCCCTGGGTGCCTTGCGATCTGCGCAGATGTCGCCACTTTCGTTGGCTCCTGGGAGGCCCAGCGGAGGTACATCATACGCGGACCACCTCGGGACCTCGCCGCCCCCTGGGGGGCTTGCGATCTGCGCAACTGTCGCCATTTTCGTGGGCTCCTTGGAGGCCCAGCGGAGGTACGTCATACGCGGACCACCTCGCCCACGAAAGTGGCGACAATTGCGCAGATCGCAAGCTCCCCAGGGGCGGCGAGGTCCCGAGGTGGTCCGCGTATGACGTACCTCCGCTGGGCCTCCCAGGAGCCCACGAAAGTGGCGACAGTTGCGCAGATCGCAAGCCCCCCAGGGGGCGGCGAGGTCCCGAGGTGGTCCGCGTATGACGTACCTCCGCTGGGCCTCCCAGGAGCCCACGAACGTGGCGACAGCTGCGCAGATCGCAAGCCCCCCAGGGCACCGCGAGCTATAGTGGTGATCTGCGCATGACGTACATCCGCTGGGCCTCCCAGGAGCCCACGAGAGTGGCGACGGTTGCGCAGATCGCAAGCCCCCCAGGGCACCGCGAGCTATAGTGGTGATCTGCGCATGGCGTACCTCCGCTGGGCCTCCCAGGAGCCCACGAACATGGCGACAGTTGCGCAGATCGCAAGCCCTTCAGGGGGCGGCGAGGTCCCGAGGTGGTCCGCGTATGACGTACCTCCGCTGGGCCTCCCAGGAGCCCACGAAAGTGGCGACAGCTGCGCAGATCGCAAGTCCCCCAAGGGGCGGCGAGGTCCCGAGGTGGTCCGCGTATGACGTACCTCCGCTGGGCCTCCCAGGAGCCCACAAAAGTGGCGACGGTTGCGCAGACCGCAGACGGCACGAGAGAAGCGGAGAAGGGAACACAGGAAACAGGAGAGCAGGAGGAGAGGAGGAGGAGGAGAAGGCGGGAGAGGAGGAGGAGGAGGAGGAGGAGGAGGAGGAGGAGGAGGAGGAGGAGGAGGAGGAGGAGGAGGAGGAGAGGAGGAGGTGGAGACCACACTGATTTATTCAAAACGAGTACCCCAACACCACAGGAGGGTTTGGAAACATTGGAAGAGCTTCGCGGAGTGAGGGCAGGTCGTTTTCAAAATGTGGCTCTCGCCTAAGCGCCGCGCACATTGTTTTTTTAATGGCAAGAGCTTCACGGATTGAGGGCGGCTCCTGCTCAAATGTGGCCCTCGCCTTAGCGCCGCGTAACCTCTTGTTAAAACATCACAAGAGTCTCGATGATCGAGGGCAGGTCGTTTTCAAAATGTGGCTCTCAACGAAGCGCCGCGCACATTCGATTTCAAACTTGCAAGATATTTTTATATTAAGGGCGGATACATCTATAGATGTATATATGTACATGTATATATAAGGTGGCTTTCGCCTTAGCACCGCGCACATTGTTGTTAAAGTTTTGCCAGAGGTTCACGGATTCTCATGATCGGTGTACCAGGAAGGATTCACGACTATGGGAGTGCAGCAGTCTCGATGGTTCGCGGTGTTGAAGTCCCAGGGATGGCGTTCTGGCACGATTCAGGATCATCAAGACGCAACAATCGGGTCGATCCGTGGCGTTGGAATACCGAGGACACTGTTTTGGAATGCGTCAGGGCCTTCAAACGGATGTGTTCGAACGAGGCAGGTCCCTCAATGGAAATGGACCGTTATAGGGGCCTATGAAGAGGGAGCTTCGGGGGAGGGCTTATTCCAACATCGTTGGTGACTCTTGGGTTTACACTGGTCCTCCTCCTTCTCCTCCTCCTCCTCCTCCTTGCTTTCTCCTCCTCCTCCTCATCATCCTCCTCCGCCTTGCTTGTTCATCCTCGTCCTTGCTCGCTCATCCTCCTTGCTCGCGGATGCTCCGTGTTCGCTCATCCTCCCCAGGTGCGGGCGCTGGAGGCCAGCCCCTCCCCACGACCTTCTGCGCAGCCGTCAGGTCTCCGACGGCAGCTCTGCCGGGGAGCCGGAGGGAAGCGAGCGCGGCCGCCTCCGAGCGGGGACTGGGGTGGGGGAGGCGCGGAGAGGCGGGCGGCTGGCAAGGAGGAAGGGGGCGAAGGGGCGGAGAACCTGGACGTGCGCTCGCGCCGTGAAGAATCACGACGGGAACTGCTCGACCGCTCTCGGCCAGTCGGGGGCCCCCGCCAGGTCCCGGAGCCGTCGAAGGCCGATCCTCGGGGTGAACCACCGGCCTCGGGGAAAGGGTCAGCGCTTCAGCGCTTCCTGGGACCGCGTGCTGACAGAAACCTGGAAGCACAGACAAGACAGAACAACAAAAACGTCGGATGCCAGAGGGTCGAGGATCGGCGGCGCGCCGAGGGGGGCGCGAGAGGGGGGGGACCTTCTCCTCGCCATCGCTCGGACGTCCATTCCCTGTTTTTTACTTCGGTTTCGCGCGTGGCCTTTTCGCCACATGATCAAGGATGCTCCTCGATGGCCCTCGCCCAAGGAACAAGGCACACGTCCGAGCGGAGGAGGAGGAGGAGGAGGAGGAGGAGGAGGAGGAGGAGGGGGAGGAGTGAGGAGGAGGAGGAGGAGGAAGGGAGGAGGAGGAGGAGGAGGGGGGAGGAAGGAGGGAGGAGGAGGAGGAGGAGGAGGAGGAGGAGGGAGGAGGAGGAGGAGGAGGAGGAGGAGGAGAGGAGGAGGAGGAGATGCCAAGTTTCAGAGGGCAGCGGGGCCTCTCGGAAGACGCCTGGCCCTCCGAGACGCCGCCCCCGTCTCCGGAGGAGGCTCGGGGAACTCCTCCCCGAAGGCCAGAGGCCTCCCGAGCGAAGGCCGGAGGCCATCGGAGAAGAATGAGAAGTCCCGGCCCCGCGGCCTTCCCCCCAGGGCGCGTCGCCGCGAGGGGCGTGGTCCTCCTCCTCCTCCTCATCCTCCTCCTCCTCCCCTCCTCCCTCCTCTCCTCTCCTCCTCCTCTCCTCATCCTTCTCTCCTCCTCCTCCTCATCCTGATGATTCCTTTTTTTTTTTTTTTTCTTTTTTTCTTTTCTTTTTTGTTCTTTTCTCCTCCTCCTCCTCCTCCTCCTCCTCCTCCTCCTCTCTCCTACTCCGCTCCTCCTCCCTCCTCCTGTCCTTCTCCCCTCCTCCTTCCTCCTCCTCCTCCTCCTCCCCTCCCTGCAGATCCTCCTCCTCCTCCTGAATCCTCCTCCTCCTCCTCCTCCTCCTCTCCTCCTCCTCCTCTCCTTCCTCCTCCTCTTCTCCTTCTCCCTCATGCTCTCTCTCCCTCTCTCCCTCCTCCTCCTCATCCTCCTTCCTCCTCCTCCTCTTCTCCTCCTCCTCCTCCACGTCCTCCTCCTCCTGCTGATCCTCCTCCTCCTGATCCTCCTCCTCCTCCTCCACCTCCTCCTTTCTCCCGAAGATGGCCCCCGAGACCGCCAGTAAGCCCCAAAGTAAGGCCTCTTGTCCCCGACCCAGTCTGGCCGAAGGCCACTGAACACTACGTATGGGCCAGCGGAATGACAGAACCGATGGAACTGTCGGAGGTCCGCGCTGAGTCTTGGATCGGCGCTAACCCCGCGGCGGCGCATCCGGCGCCCCTGGCGCGCTCCACGCGCCAAGAAGAGGGGCCCGGCGCTTATCCAAGAAATCCGCGTGGACCTCCGAATGTTCATGCTGGCGTCTGTTGCTCGTCCTCGAGAAGGGGGGGAAGGGAAGTGATCCGTCATTCGAAAGGGCGATGTACTGAGGGCCAGGGCGAGGCGGGGATCTATCCATGTCAACCGCCTGTCGAGGTCTCGGAAAATCGATCCTCCAGGCGGTGGTCATGCATGACTCCCCGCCTCGGAGCCAGGGCCAGGGAGAAGCACAGGGCGATGACGCAGGAGGAGGGGGCAGTCGCCAAGGGGCCAGGCGGACCCCCCGGATGGGCAGGGAAGGGCTGGGATGAGAGGTCACCAAGGGCCACAGGGCAGCAAAGAGCAGAGAAAGAACAAGAAGGAGTGCACAGGAGGGGAGGGGGGAGCATCGTTTAATCGACCTTTGTCCCCATGGGCGTGGCCTGGGCCCCATTGGCCGATGTGTCTCCCAAGATGGAGATATAGGCTGTTCCCTGCGGGGCTCGGGGGGCCTATCCCCAACTGGGGCGGTGTGGTGGTGGGGCTGAAATGCGATGGCCCGATGGAGATAGGGGAGAGGTTGAACGATGCTGAGGAGAGGAGGTGGGGGGGAAGGAGGGGGAAGGAAGCCCGACCGCCTTCTGAGAAGGTCTCCTCCTTCTCATTTCCCCCCCTCGCTCGCCGCCGATTAAAGACCTCCTGCGATTAAGCCCCCGGCCGCTCGGCGGCGCCTGCGCGCTCCGCAGGCGCTCCACGCCGCCTTGCGGGGCCCGGGGCAGGCCACAAGCTACGGGACTGGGAGGGCGAGGCGGATAAGGGACGCAGAGGCCTACCAGAGGGGGTCGAGCAGTGGGAGCGAGGGGGAAGGGGGGGAAGGAGGAGGAGGGGGGACGAGGAGGGGAGGAGGAGGAGGAGGAGGAGGAGGAGAAAAGAGGAGGAGGAGGAGGAGGAGAGAGGAGGAGGAGGAGGAGGAGGAGCAGGGGGAGGAGGAGGAGGAGGAGGAGGAGGAGGAGGAGGAGGAGGAGGAGGAGGAGGAGGAGGAAGGAGGAGGAGGAGGGGGAGAGGAGGTGGAGGAGGTGGAGGAGAAGGAGGAGGAGGAGGAGGAGGAGGAGGAGGAGGCGAGGTACGGGGTCCCAGTAGGAAGGGTGAGGAAGGAGACGGTTGAGGGAAGAGAGGACGGGGGTCTCCGAAGTGCGCTTCGAGTAGATGGGGTCGGAGGATGGCGCCGCATCGCCAATGCATCGGCGCTGCATCGCCGATACGTCGCCGATGCATCGGCGGCGTCGGCGGTGCATCGGCGCCCTCGGCGTGCAGAACATCGGGCTCCACGCCGCGCCGCATCGCCGATGCACCCTGGGTTGCGGCGCGATCCTGAGACGACCCCCGTCTACTCGGGCCCCATTTGGGGGAAACCAACAGGTACACACACACACACACACACACACTGCTGCTCCCCAGACCACTCCCAGGGTGCGTTCACTGACAAGACAATCGACGCGAATCCAGCCGAGGCGACGAGGGCCTCCCAGGAGACCAAGCATGAAAAGATAGGGGCAGCCTCCGACCCCACCTACTCGGATCCTCCTCCCTCCTCCTCCTCCTCCTCCTCCTCCTCCTCCTCCTCCTCATCCTCCTCCTCCTCCTCCTCCTCCTCTCATCCTCACTCCTCCTCCTCTCCTCCTCCTCTTCTTCTCCTCCTCCTCCTTCCTCCTCCTCCTCCTCCTCCTCCTCCTCCTCCTCCTCCTTCTCCCATCCCCGTGCCCCCTCCCGTCCCCGTGCCCCAGGGCCGTCACGAAACGGCACGGGATGAAAAACCGACCCCAGGGAAGGGGTCGGGACTTCCGCAAGACGAAGCTAGGACGACAAATATCGGGTTTAGTGAAAACGACCTGAGGCCCAAACCTGGCGGGCGCAAGCTTGGAAAATAACGGCCACGACGCCCTCTCGAGGACGGAAAACGCACAATTTACTAATCGACGTGTCACTGTTGGGGGTTCTTTCCACCCCCGACAATAAGAACGAGGCCTTTCCATCAATTGAACTACGATTTCCCACCGGAAATCTACGGAAAACCTAAGACGCACTGCAACACAGTTCAGGAACACTGAGCCCCTCCCCAACGAAAAGGGTTCCTGTTTCAACAGCCCGGCTGTGTACTTGTTGCCCCCCTCCCCCAGGGCCCGGACGTATCCACATCCGCTGCCTGCCGACATCCCCGAAGATCGATCCCCCAGGCGGCGGTCATGCAAGACGAAGCTAGGACGAGGATCAAATCGGGCAAGGATCCATCGCGAATCTCTGAGATCCGGCGGTTCTAGAGGATGTATCCGGCGCCACGGCCTTCTCAGAGCTTTCCGCAACACTCTGAGAGCGTTATGAAACGCTCTGGACCGAGTTATCCTCGTCCTAGCCCCGTCCGACTCCTGGAACTCCGTGCTGGAAAAAGCATCGCGTGCCTGGGCGTGCTGCCCACTACACCAACCAGGAAAGGCAGATCGAGAAGTCCGCCGCCCCAATGGAAGGTGACCCCAACCGCGTGGCTCACGGACAGACCCTGAGATCCGACGTGGCGAGAAAATGCAGCATCGTGAAACAAGCGTGCCTGGAGCCCTAAACCCCACCTGTGTGGGCCATTCACTCTTCGAGCCCGATCGATCTGGGAGGGTCCTGGAGCCCGAGAGAGGGCGAGAAAACGCCCCGGCTGGAACGAATGGAAGTGCCAGGCTCTCAGGGAGCGGGAGCAGCGCGAGACACGTCGTCGTTGGGGGGGGGGAGGGCCCGCGGGCGCCAGGAAGCGCGGGCGCCGGGCGAGCAGCGCCGGGGCGGCGCGCCGCAGCACGGGGGGGCACGAGGGGAAGAGGGGGGCGCGGCGGGGCGCGAGAGGGGGCCACTTCCCGTGCTGCATGTTTCGGCCTCGTGCGTGTGTGTTGTTGTGCTGCTCGGTGGTCCAGGAGGGTCCTCGATGGTTCTTCGCCGAGGGAGGGAGTGCACACACGTCCGAGCGACGCCACGGGGGCCGGAGAGGCCCCCGATGCGATGCGATGCGACCACCGTTGCGGACAGCGTCTGGGGCTAGAGCAGACCAGGGGGGTGAGGCCATGGCCTCCAGGATCTGAGGTGTCTGGGTTCATGCAGTGCGAGACATGCAAAAAGCTGGGAGGAGAGGGGGAGGAGGAGAGGCCCCCGGGGCGAGGGGGGGGGGGGGGGCGCCGGCCGCGGGAGAGCCGTGGTGGGGGGGCGCCGCGGCGCCGGGCCCTGGGCGGGCCAGGGGCGAGCACGGGGGCGGAGCCGCGCAGGGAGCCCGCGGGGGAAGCCCGCGGGCAGGAGGCGTGGCCACATCCGCTGCGCCTTGGAGTCTCGGGCCCCCCTCTGGCCATCGCTCGGACGTCCATTCCCTGTGTTTGTTTCGGTCTCGTGCGTGGTTCTTCCGCCAAAGGATCAAGGATGCTCCTCGACGGTCCTCGCCGAGGGAAAAACGCACACGTCCGAGCGATGCCAAGCCCTTCCTCCGACAGCAGGGGCGCCGCGGATGCGGACAGAGCAAGCTCGCCCCTGGAGGTGGGATGTTGTCCGGATCCACTGCGCCGCGGCCTGGTGGCGCCCCTGCCCAGAAAGTCCAAGACGCGGTGGGTGCAGATTCGAATCGTGAACGGGGCCCCTCTCTCCCATAAGTTGAACTTCGATTTCCCATGGATAACCTCAGGAAGACAGAAGGCAAACTGTAGAACAGTCACGGAATACCAAGCCCCTCCCCAACGAACAGGGTACCTTCTTCAGGGCCCCGGCTGTAGAGCAAGCTCGCCCCTGGAGGCGGGATGCTGTCCAGATCCACTGCGCCGCGGCCTGGTGGCGCCCCTGCTCAGAAAGTCCAAGACGCGGTGGATACGGATTCGAATCGCGTGCCCGCAAAACCTGGCAACGATGAGGGTGAAGCGTTCAGCGTCGTCGGTCACTCGGAGCAACATCAAGCTCAAAGAGCCGCCAGGGAACCCCGCTCGGAACGGCCGAGGAGACGAAGACGAGACACGCACACGCCGAGTCGTAGGAGCGCGATGGGAAAAGCCCAGCAGCATTCTGATCGGAGTAGGAGGAGGAGGAGGAGGAGGAGGAGGAGGAGGAGGAGGAGGGAGGAGGGAGGGAGGAGGATGGGAGAAGGATGAGGAGGAGGAGGAGGAGGAGGAGGAGGAGAATGGAGGAGGAGGAGAGGAGGAGGAGGAGGAGGACGAGGAGGAGGAGGAGGAGGAGGAGGAGGAGGAGGAGGAGGACCTGGGGGCCCCAAAGAAGCTGCGGTGACGGACCGCGCGGCGACCGGTCGAAAACCTTCTCTCTGCGGGGCAGGGGTGTGGCCCGCGGCGCCCCGCACGGCGGGCACAGGCCCGAGCCGTGACCCCCCCCTGCAGACCTCGAGGGCAGGGAAACGAGCAGCGACCCAGGCATTCCTACACCAGAGAAGAGCCCCAATCAGTGGATGGCTCTCGCTGGGAACCTGGGGGAGGAGGCGGGGAGGGGGGAGGGAGGAGAGGAGGAGGAGGAGAAGGGAGGAGGAGGAGAGGAGGAGGAGAGGAGGAGGAGGAGGAGGAGGGAGGAGGAGGAGGAGGAGGAGGAGGAGGAGGCGGAGGAGGAGGAGGAGGGGGAGGAGGAGGAGAGGTGGAGGAGGAGGAGGAGGAGGAGGAGGAGGAGGAGGAGGAGGAGGAGGAGAGGCGGGGGAGGAGGAGGGAGATGAGGAGGGAGGAGGAGGAGGGAGGAGGAGGAGGAGGAGGAGGAGGAGTGGGGAGAGGAGGACGAGGAGGAGGGAAGGAGGAGGAGGAGAGGAGGAGGAGGAGGAGGAGGAGGAGGAGGAGGGAGGGAGGAGGAGGGAGGGCGGGAGGGAGGGAGGGGAGGGAGGGAGGGGAGGAGCAGAGGAGGGAGAGAGGGAGGCAGAGGAGGAGTAGGAGAACGACCGGGAACCCGGGAGCCCGGGAACCCAGAACCCACCGAAGTCGGCCCGGAAGCAATAATCGGGAACCCGGGAGCCCGGAGCCGGGAACTGGGAACCCAGCCTGATACCCAAATCGAGAAACTTTCGCCAAATCTTTTCAGCTTCCGCTAGGACCCCTTCAGTGCAAGACTGACTGGGGAAAAACTCGGAGGTCCGCGCGGATTTCTCGGATCCGCGCCGGACGTCCCCCTCCCTGGCGCGCGCCAGGGGCGGCGCCGGAGGCGCCGCAAAGGGGTCTCCAGCCCCGATGCGAAAGATCCGCGCGGACCTCCGAGTTGTTCTGTTTATGCCATTGTTCGTTCCCCTGTTGGGGGCGAGTCGCTTTTTTTGTGCCACAGCAGCAGGTGGGCGACGAAAGGAAAGGGGTCCCACGTGAGATGACGTAGCGACCTTGCGCTGCGGCTGACGTGGACGGCCAGCGCGGCGGGCCGCAACGGCAACGAGGGCGCTCACGCGCGACCTCGCGCGGGCAGCTTGCGCACAACTGCCTGGCGCAGCCGGCCCCGTCTTCTCGCGCCTCTCCTGTGAATCGAGCGGGTGGAAAGCGGCAGCCAAGTCGGAGGAAGGCGAATCGGCGGAAACCGCCAGGCTGACAGCACCCACCGAGAGACCGAGAACCAAATACGAAGCCGAGGCCGGAACGAATTGGAATAGGAATCGCTCGACATCCATCGAATCGATCGGAATCGACCGAAATCAAATCCGCTCTCCGCTCCGGAGGCTCGCCAAGTGTGCCTGGATGATGTCGAGAGGAGTGACAGGATGCAGGAGGAGGAGGAGGAGGAGGAGGAGGAGGAGGAGGAGGAGTCGATCGGAATCGATCGAACTCAAAGGGCATCGAGCCGGGGGCGTCGAAGGCAGCCCCTGCGGCGCGGAGCTGCCCCACGGCGCGAGGCGGAGCAGGAGCAGCGTGGGCGGCCGCCGAGCTGCACACAGCCGCAGGGGCCGTGTGCCTGGTGCTCGGAGGGCAGGCCTCCGCAGTGGCAGCCTGCGTGCTGTCAGCGCCCCTCCAACGGGGACTCCACTGACGGGTACTCTGGCCAGTGACCCAGCGAACCCAGCCCTTCCCGATGTGGGCAAAGCTGCAACGCAAGAAAAAGGCCCTAAAGTGGCAACTTTCGGCAAGAATCAGAGTACCCGTTAGTAAGTATCCGTTGCGGTGCCGTTGATGCTGGCGGCGTGCCCGCGCACCGGGGCTGCGCCCTCTGCGCGGGGTGGAGCAGCAGCGCGGCGCGCAGCAGTGCACTGACGAACGAACAACACACACCCATACCCATAGGGAGGTCGTTGGGAGGAGGACTGTCTATGGGTATGGGTGCGGGTTGTCTGACCCTGGGGAACGCTCCTGCTCGAGCGGGGACCCCCATCCGACAACACGCACCCATAGCCCTCTCCGATCCCCCTATGGGTATGGGTGTGTGTGTGTGTGTTGTTGGTTCGTCATGCACGGGCCCGTGCCTGGTGTTCGGAAGGCAGGCCTTCGTGCCGGCAACCTGCGTGCTGGCCGCGTGCACACCCCACGGGGCAAGAGTGGAGCAGCAGCGCGGAGGGCCGCCGACCCCGGCAAGTGCACGGGCCCGCGCCTGGTTTTTGTCAAATGGAGGGCTCCTTGCTGGCAGCCTGCGTACTTGCTGCTTGCCCACCCAGCTCGAGGAACGAAACCATACATAAACTGATGTTGCTTCCGTCGTACATGATGACCACATCCCAGAAGTCACTTCGAGCGCCCAGAAGAGTATCGAAGCAGTGTCTGCCCGACACGCTGGCGAAGTGTCGAGCGAGAATCGCCTCCCATGGCCCGACACGTGTAAACCCTCCAGCTTCGGTACTTCCCTGGTGCTCGAAATTCTTTCTGGTGGTCAAGGCTACAGGGGGTTGGAGCATGATCGACATAAACATAAAAATGATGCTCGGCACTCCGCGCGGACTTCCTTGATCGTCGCTGGCCCCCCCTGGCGGCACCTCTAGCTAGCGCCGCCCCTGACGCGCACCGCGAGCCAGGGAGGAGGGGTCCAGCGCCGATCCAGGACATGCGCGTGGACCTCCGACAGCCGAAGCTTCTGACGCTTCCGCGCCTCGACCCCCCACCCCCGCCCCTCCTTCGGTGGTAAATCATGGGAGCCTCCCATACCATCTGCTCGGCTCTTGCGAGTCGGCGCTAATCTACGCTAAATCGATGCCAATCGACGCTCTAATCGATGCTAAATCGACGCTAATCGACGCTAGCCGACGCAAAATCGGCGCTGCCTCATCGACCCCCACACGCTAATCGACGCTAGTCGACGCTAAAAACGGAATTCAGAGGGCATACCAGACTCCCATGAGTTGCCACCGAACCCTCCCTTCCCCCCCTCCTTCTGCCGTGCGCGCTTGCACCCCGCACCCCACAGGGAGCCGCCTTGCTGCAGGCCCCGACGTCTCCTCCCTCTGGGAGGTGCCTGCTCTTGTGCAGGCGCCGAGGAGCCCCGAGGCCGCCAGGCAGACTCGTGACAGGGCGATCATTGAGAAGGGACCGACCGCCCCGGCATCCCTATAGGCCTACCACGACATGTGCTTGGAACCCAAGCAAATCGAATCACATGAACAGTGTTCTTAGAACAACAACCCGATATAATAAGACAAGACAGTCTCAGCCAGAAATGCTCTAAGAACACTTCGTGCACACCACAAGAGGTTATGATAACATTCATGTGGTGGGCCCACAGGCAGCCAGGGACGCTTCGCCAGCGCTTGAGATCAAGGGAGTCGCATCCCCTAAGCTGGCCGCCCCGCGCTCGAGGTGCTCGCCAGGAGCCCGAGCTTCGAGGCCTTGCCCTCATCGCCTGGCCCTCCTCCTCCTCCTCTTCCTCCTCCTCCTCCTCCTCCTCCTCCTCCCTCCTCCTCCCTCTTCGGCCGCCCCTCCTCTTGCCGCTGGGCCTCCTCGCCGAGTGGGCAGGCGCTCGGAGGGCAGGCCGGGCAACGACGAGGAGGCAGGGCGGAGAGGCGAGACTAGGGGGCAAACATACCTACCTCGCTTTTGACCACCCTCGCTTCCAAGAGATACCAAGCGATGCCAAACTACGGCCTGTACTGGTCAGGCCGCTTGACGAGGAGGCGCGTGGTATGACTTGGTTTTGCCTGGAAGCGAAAGCGGGGTAGGTAATTCACGCTCTGAGAGACGGGCCCCGAGCAGCAGCGCCCCCGGCGAGCGCGAGGAGCCGCAGGCGCTGCGATCCCGCCGGCAGCTGCCCGGAGGGCCCCCGAGAGCACGGCGCACGCTGCGCTCGGACGTGCCCCCGCGGGCCTCCTCTGCCGCAGCCCGGCGCCTCGCGGCCCCACGCGGGGGGGGCCCTGGGCCCAGAGGTCCGACGCCAGAGGTCTCGACCCACTCCACGGGACTGGCTAGCCTGCATCCCGAGCCGCTGCTTCGCGGCCCAGGGGCCCGGCGAGGGCCTCCAGAGGCCGAGACGCGGCGAGAACCCGCCGTCCCGACTGTTCCTCCGCGCGCCAGATCCCTGGGGACTGCATCGAGGGACCCGGCGGTGGCCCCCGCAGGCCGATGTCGGGGAGAAGCCGCCGAGGCCGTCGGGGCCCTCCCGGGGGGGGGGGCGCGGGAGGGGTCGCTCCGGGCCTTCGCCTGCGACTTCACCCTCTCGGCGGCCGGCCACGAGACCTCGCAGTCCCAGACCTGCGGGGCGCCCCGGGGGGCCCCCCCTGCTCCGTGCAAGCCGAAGCGGCCAGGCCGCCAGGGCGGTGGAGCCGGGCGGGCGGTGGCCTCCGCCCTCCCTCTCGCCCCCCCCCTCCCCCCTGTGCCTCCCATTCCTCTCTGCCTCCTCCTCCTCGTCCTCCGCCTCCTCCTCCGCCTGCTCCTCCTCCTCCTTCTCCTCCTCCTCCTCTGCATCGTCCTCTTCCTCCTAATCATTATCCTCCTCCGCCTGCTCCTCCTTCTCTTCCTTTTCCTCCTCCTCCTCCTTCTCTTCCTCCTCCTCCTCCTCCACCTCATCCTCCCTCCTCCACCTCATCCTCCCTCTCCTCCTTCTCCTCCTCCTCCTCCTCCTTCTCCTCCTCCTCCTCCTCCTCCTCCGCCTCCTCCTCCTCCTCCTCCTCCTCCTGCGCCTCCTCCTCCTCCGCCTCCTCCTCCTCCTCCACCTCCTTCGCCTCCTCCTCCTCCTCTTTCTAATCATCAACGTTCCAGCTCGAAGTCGTTCGCGACGCCTGTGTGCGCCCACGCCGTGTGTGCGCATCGTCCTATGTGGCTGAAGCTGCCAGCTTTGCGTAGGAGCGCCTCCACTTTAGGAGACAACTCCTGGGAGGCCCTTGCGGGCACGAGAAGGAGCTAGTAATCTGGATACCGGACTGTGAGGCCTGATCAAGCCGCCGAATCAGGCCACCAGAGACCATACAATACGAGAGACTACGGGCCACGAGCCCCCAACTCCCGATCCAGAGAAGCTCATACGTGCCTGGAAACAAATTAGGATCCTTACAGACAGGCTGCTGTAGGAAAACGAACATGGTGACGGGCCCAACTCTTTGCAACTGACTGCACCGCATTGAAATGCCCCCTCCTCATGAACTGCGCGCCGCGAGAGGCATGGAGTTTCGGCGAGCTGAGAAGTGGGCGAAATGGGAGCATGCGGTCGGGCCCACTGGGACCGTATGTGGAGCTCACTAGGGAGCCACGATCCGCGTGAGGGTTGTGCAGACATGGGTACGGGCTCGCCTGTAGTTAGGCCCACTGAGCTCCCGATGGGGCTACGATCCACATGAGAAACGTGCCGACACATGGGCGCGGGCCCGCATGCGGTCGCGCCAACTGCAGCCGCAGGAGGAACCCCTTTATGGAGCCACGACCAACGCGGGGGGGGATGACGAAATGCACGCCCGAAGACAAGAGACAACGAGAGGGAGGGGGGGGGGAGAAGCGGGGGGGGAAGGCAGGAAGGAGGAGACGCGCGACGGGGCGGATCCAGCATGAGGAACCGAACAACACAGGAAGGCTGGGAAAGACGGGAGGGTGTGGAGGGCGAGGGCGAGGAGCTCAGGTGGGACGGGCAGCGCCGCGGGCTCGAAGCGAGGAGCCAGCAGCACAGCAGGAGGGCCGGGAGGCCAAAGTGGCCGTCGCGACACCCTCCAGTGCGCCGGGTGATCGCACCCCCCTCTCTCCCTCGGGGGATGGACAGCTGAGACGACAGCGGCTCTCCCTCGAAGAAGAAGAAGGAGAAGAGACAGATGAAGATAAACACGGCATATAACATAAACTGCTGGCGCTCCGCGCCAAACAAAATATAGGTGTATGGCGCGTATTATTATTAGTATTATCATTATTAGTATTGAAAGTATTGTTAGTATTATCATTGGTATCAGTATTAGTATTACTAATACTATTAATAATAATCCTAATAATAGTAGTAATAATAAGAATATTGACATTAATATTAATATTAATAATAATAATAGTAATAATAATAATAACAATAATAATAATACAAGTATGATCAGTATTGTTACTATTACTTTTACTACTGTTATTGTTCGACTCCCGTCCAAGGCACACCCGCGCAACATCGGTCCCCAAACCTCCCTCTGATGGGGTCCATCCTGACCCGTTCGGTGAGGCGGCTCCAGCCGTGGCAAGAAGAGGGAGCTTCTCCAGCAGCACAGAAGACGAGGCACGCCGCCAGGAAGGGGGCCACCGCGGTCTCTCGACCGCCCCACCTCCAAATCTCTCCCATGATGCTGAAGATGGGGCCGCCCTCCGCCCAGCGGCACCTTCACGTTGCGGATGGTCCCGCGGAGGTGCTGCCCGCGGAACTGGTAGTGGCTCCCCACGGTCAGGTGTGGCCTGCAAAATCGAGCAGGCTCGCTCCTCCCAAGCTCGCATCGCCCGCCTCGCTTCGCCCGGCCCGCTTCGACAGGACCCGCCTCGCCAGACTCGCATCGCCCGACTCGCTTCGCTCGGACTCGACTTCCCCGCGCGCCCGACCCCACCCGCCTGCGTTGCACGGGTGCCAAATAGACGATGCATCAAACTTCAGTGTCCCGCCCGCCCGTCCGACCCGCCCGTGAGGGTCCACTCGCCCGATTCGCCCGCCAGGGTCCGCCCGCCCGACCCGTCCCGCCCGTCAGGGCCCGCCCGCCCAACCCGCCCCGCCTGGCAAGAGCCACTTCGGCCCCCTACCTCGTCCTTCTCCTCCCTCGTCCTCCTCCCCCGCCATCCTCCCTCGTTCTCCTCCTCCCCCTCCCCCCCCGCATCATCGAAAGACGACGATGCGCAGGCCCGACGGCAAGGGGGCGCCTGTCGGTGGGCAGCGGGCAGTGCCCCTTGGCGTTCTCGCCGACGAGCAGTCCGTCCTTGAACACCCTCATTCTCCCCTTCTCCGAGACCTCCGGGGCGCGCCGGGGAGACCAGTTACCGACCTGTGGGCGGATGCGGTAGTGTATGGACCAATTGCAAGGGAACTAATCTTCAGTTCAGCGAAGGCGGAACCGGATTTACACGCTTATCCCAGCCAGAGGGAACAAGACACACGAGCTTTTATTCAACTCAGAAACCGCCTTCTGGATCACGGAAACATATAACGCCGAGGGGGGCGGGGGGGGGAGGGGGGCAGATCACGGGGAAAAGCATCGACCTGGAATGGGCGTTTCGTTGCCGATGGATCGACAAGAACCACACGCTCCTGAGCGGGGTGGGCTATCCGGCCCGCATCGGCAACGAATGGGCGAGTGGGAGTCGATACGTCCCCCGCTGAGCTATACCCATCCTAACCTTGCCCCTGACGAGTTTGGGCTCCCGCGGGCTCGCAGAAGCCTCGGGGAGCCCCTGGGGGCCTCCAAGGAAGACCTGCGGCGACGCCCTCCTGCAGGCGCCGCCGGAGAGATCTCCAGAGGGTGCTGCCGCCCCTGCCCTGGAGGAGCGAGCACGGGCGCACGCAGAGGAGGAGGCCCTGCCCCGAGGGGGGCCCGTCATCGCGGGCGATCGCGGGGCGCAGGGAGAGCGGGCGACGCCGCCGTCGCCGTGCTCCTCGCCGCCAGCGCACCCCCGGGGCCACAGGAGCAGAGAGGCGGAGGAGGACAGCACCCTCCTCCCGGAAGCGACACGTCGCCGTCGGCGCCGGATCTGCGCCGAGAGACCCGCCCGAAGCCACAGAGGCACGCAGCGGCACTGGAGGCAAACAGCAGACAGCGGACGTGCGGGCAGGACGCCAGGGCACCGGCGGAAATCTCTTGCGCACGCCCGACGCCCCCACATGCCCGCCCTACGTGCGCAGGCCTCACACAGCCTCCCTGAGTCCCACAACGTTAAAGCACAGGGAGCCCAAACTTCGGCTGCGCGTGTCGCACCGCTGGCTCTGGCCCACAACGCTTCGGCGCGATACGGCAGGACGGGCAGGCAGGACAGAGCGAGCCAAGGGGGAGCCAGGGAGGCGGGAGGCGAGGAGGAGGGAGAGGGGAACAGCCGCAAGCAGATAGACCAGAACAAGGGGTCTGGAGAGAAGAGCCACTCGCGGCTACGGGCGCTGCTTAGCATCCCCACTTGTCCTCCTCCCCAACGTCATCAGCACCGTCATGATCGCCACCACTACCGTCACCGTACTGATCACCAGCATCCTCACCACCACCACCACCATCATCACCACAACTATCATCACCGTGATCTCCGTCACTACAGTCACCATCTCCTCAACATATCCCCCTCATCATCCGTAGCGTCCTCGAGGGCACCGTCATCAGCCTTCACCGCATCGTCATCATCACCACCACCATCATCTCCATCATGGGCAAACTCCTCGCCGTCCTCATCTTGTCTCATCGTCGGCTCTCTTACTCGAGGGGTGGCACCAGAGATCGACTGGAAAGCGGCAGGGGGGGAGGTGACAGAATGAGCAGCGGCAGCATCAAGACGGGGAGCAGAAGGGAGGTGGATGAGTGAAGCCAGCAGTAGAAGGAGCAGGAGGAGCCGAAGAACGGGGGACCTATACTTGGACCCTGGGACCTGGCGGAGGAAGTCGTGCGGAGAGGGGGGAGGGAGGAGGGGAGGGGAGAACGACCGGAAAGCGCCCCCCCCCCCCCCCCGCACGATACGCACCTCACGCTCAGGCACTCAGCCTGGAAGGGGAGGGAGGAGGAGAAGCACCAGCTCAAGAACGGAATGGCGGCCAGGAGCACGCAAGAACGAAAGGCAGCCAGTCAGGTCCAGCGAGCCCAGCGGCGGGCAAGGGCGCGCCTGGGATGTACTTGACCGTCGACAGGGGAGGAGGAGTGGGGAGGAGGAGGAGGAGGAGGAGGAGGAGGAGGTGGAGGAGGGAGGAGGAGGAGGAGGAGGAGGAGGAGGAGGAGGAGGAGGAGGAGGAGGAGGAGGAGGGAGAGGAGGAGGAGGGGGGGAGGAGGAGGAGGAGGAGGAGGAGGAGGAGGAGGAGGAGGAGGAGGAGGAGGAGGAGGAGGAGGAGGAGGAGGAGGAGGAGGAGGAGGAGTAAGGAGGAGTAAGGAGGAGGAGGAGGAGGAGGAGGAGGAGGAGGAAGAGGAGGAGTTTACGAGAGGAGGAACATCCAGATTCGAAGACCACGGATGCTGGACGTTTGCCGCAATCTCTGGGCCTCCTGGAGGCTTCTCGTCGCCACGGCTGGATCCGCCTCGAGGTGGCGAACTGAACGCACCCCTGGACACTTGGGGCAGGTGGAGGAGTCGATGCTGGAAGCGGCCTTGCTTGTATTGGATCCGCAGACAGCTACCTTGAGGTCGGGCATGACCTCCTGCAGGCGGACCTTGGAATAATAAATAAAAGTAGCCAAACCTTTTCAAACCGAGCACAACAAGAGCACGAAACATCGCCCCAGATCATTACTTTGACTGGTCTTGCATATTCCTCCAGTAGGAGGGCATGCCCGACTTCAAGTTACCTTACCCCTGAAACGTTCAGCGCCCCTCTAACGGGGACTCCACTGACGGGCACTTTGGCCAGTAACCCGGCGAACCCAGCCCTCCCAGACGTGGGCAACGCTGCAACGCCAGAATGAGGCCCAAGAGTGGTAACCTTCGGGCCAGAAAGAGGCAAATCTCCAAGGTACCCGCCAATGTGGGGGCACCAAAAGGTGCCGATACCGCGACTCCCCAGACCTCTCCCGGGGTGCGTTCGGACACGGATTTCGAGGCGAATTCAGCGGTGGCGACGAGGGCCTCCCAGGAGTAAAACAGGGCTAGGATCGGGATAAATCGATCCAGAGCGTTCCGGAGCGCTCTCAGAGCGTTCCGGAACGCTCTGGAGCGGCCGCGGCGCCCAACACATCCTCCAAACCCGCCGACTCTCAGAGATTTCGAGTGATCCCGATCCGATTTGGTCCCGATCTTCGCGCCGTTTTGAGGAGGCCGAGCAGGGAGGAGATTGGGCGGGGAGTGGCGGTGTGGGCACCTCTGCCTCTGCTGATGGCGCGCACCCGTGGCGGTGCCGCCAAGGCGCGGAGCCCCGCCACCGGCCGGCAAGGA